GAGTCTTAGCCACTGAACCACCAGGGAAGTCCCTTGCATACATTTCTAAAGTGCCAAGGACAAGGGGGAACCAATGGGTCCTCAGGGTCCATTTCAAGACACTCTCCTTCCCGGGGACCCCTGGGCACTGGTCCCAGCCAGACTCTAAGGTGCAGGCCCAACCGGGGAGCCAGGGTCAGATGCCCCCTGAGTTTGTCATCACAGGCAGGGGAGGAACCGGGCATGTTAGGCAGTCACATGGGACACGAGAGGGAGGGTTAGCTCTGTGTGGATTTGACGAAGCTGTGCTGAGTCCCAGGGGCCTGGGGGCAGCTAAGAAGGAGGAGTCTTCCCAGGCTCCCCAGCAGGAGGGCTCCAGGCGAACCAGAGCGCGTGGCCCGCCCTGAAAGACCCAGGCAGCCTGGTGGCTGCACCTCCTCTTGTCCCCTGGGACCCAGGGCAGTGGCCTCATCTTTGCCTCCTTGTCCCTTTAGCGCCTGGCACAGGGCGGAACTCAATATTTGTTGATGATGACCCTGCAGGTGATGGGCGGACAAGGTCCAGGGAAAAGCCAGCTGCTGGAGGGTCACAGCCTAGAGGTGGGTGAGCCCCCCCATGGTGGGGGGGGCTTGGCTGCCACCCCCGTGTTGTGACAGAGGCTGTTATGCCGCAATCAGCTGTGGGCAGGTCACAGATTTCTCAGATGGCCAACCTGAGTGGGAGGCCTCCACTCTTGCACGCCCCCATCAAGGCATGGCCCTGGCCACCCTCTGGGGAAGATCCAGCTCCCAGTGAGAAGGAGGGGTGGCTCTGCCTCCTCAGCCCATGGCATGGCGGGGCGAGTGGAGGCCTGGGTCTTGTCCGCCAGGCAGGGGACAGCGTCAGGGGCACTTTGGACACAGTGGCTGCCTTTGGACCAGCATCTGTTAGTTTCCTCACCTAATAAATGAGAATAATGTTTCCTCCCTCATGAAGCCAGCATGAGGATTAAACGAGACATCCTAGATCTTCATTTAGGGTTTGGGCCTGACTCTTCAATGTTTGCTTCGAAGTAACAAGTTTCTTTTTTCTTTTTTCCCTCTGGAGGGAACACAGTCAACTGCAAGGAAAGGGTTAGTAATTTAAAAGAAAAATTTATTTATTTATTTATTTTGGCTGTGCGGGGTCTTAGTTGTGGCACTCGGGATCTTAGTTAAAGCATGCGGACTCTTAGTTGCAGCATGCAGGATCTAGTTCCCTGACCAGGGATTGAACCTGGGCCCCCTGCATTGGGAGCGCGGAGTCTTACCCACCGGACCACCAGGCTAGTCCCAGGGTTAGTGATTTTTGTTGTTATTTGTTTTGTTTTCTCTGTTAGCGGTTTATTTTTAACTGAAAGGTTGACCAACTTATGCAAAGCTCAGTGGACGTGTGTGTGTGTGTGTGTGTGTGTGTGTGTGTGTGTGTGTGTGTGTGTTGAGGGGGCTGTTTGTTCAGGCCCTGGACCACCACCTGTCCTTTGCATCACGCAAAGGACCAGCTCGCGACATGCAGCATCTCAGTGGACGACCTGGGACCCTCTTGGATCCCTGGCTCTCCCTGTCTGCCACGTCCTGTTGTCTCCCTGTAATCCTCCTCTTGTTGGCTGCCTGTGCTTTTCCCAAACCGTGACCCTCAGGAGGCAGCATCACTATAGAAGAATCTAGTCCGCTAGTTGCAGCCTCAGGTGTCAGCTGAATGTCACTGCCTTTCCTGGGGCAGCCAGCTTTTGCCTGGTTTGTCTGAAGGTCTGCTGTCAAGGGCTGGGGGTGAGACAGGTCACTGTGACCCATCAGATCTGAGGGGAGGAGCTGGCAGGATGGACGGGGTGGCTGACATCCAGGTTGCTGTTGTTTCTCTGCAAAAGTATCCCAAATCATACACCAGGAAGTTCACCCACACCAGGATGAACTTCCCTCTGGACCCATTTCCAGTCTACACCAGAATGTTCCATTTCCCCTACTAGTGTACTTCTGACTCTCTACCTTGCCCACTGATCACCCTGGCCTGGGCTATGTCATAGGGACTACTAGTTATATTCTCGGGGACTGTCAGTCATATCCTTGGGGACTGCCAGTCAAAGGCCACAGGAATGTGGGGGGCAGGCTGGGGCGGGCAGGCCCCCATGTTTTAAGTACTGAAGCTTGGGAAAGATTTTTTTAAAATTTATTTTATTGAAGTATAGTTGATATACAATGTTAATTTCTACTATACAGCAAAGTGATTCAGTTTTCCATATATATATATATGTACACACACACAGATTCTTTTTCATATTCTTTTCCATTCTGGTTTATCACAGGATATTGGATACAGTTCCCAGTGCTATACAGTAGGACCTTGTTGTTTATCCATGCTATGTATAATAGTTTGCATCTGTTAATCCCTAACTCCCAATCTATCCTTCCCTCATTCCCCCCTCCCCCTTGGCAACCACAAGTCTGTCCTCTATGTCTGTGAGTCTGTTTCTGTTTCGCAGATAAGTTCATTTGTGTCACATTTTAGATTCTACATATAAATGATATCATATGGTTATTTTTTTCTCGTTCTGACTTACTTCACTTAGTATGATAATCTCTAGGTCCATCCATGTAGCTGCAAATGGCGTTATTTCATTCTTTTTTATGGCTGAGTAGTATTTCATAGTATATATATACCACATCTTCTTTATCCATTCATGTGTCACTGGGCATTTAGGTTGCTACCCTGTTTTGACTATTGTAAATAGTGCTGCAATGAACATTGGAGTGCATGTATCTTTTCGAATTATAGTTTTCTCCAGACACATGCCCAGGAATGGGATTGCAGGATCATATGACAACTCTATTTTTAGTTGGGAAAGATTAACTCCTGCAGTCAAGAGGGCTTTAGGGACTCCCTTGCAAGTCACTCACTATCAAGATGTTCCCCTGAGTAGGAGGGAACAGGCTGTACCAGTTACTAAGCTCCACTGTGTCTCAACTTCAAACCCTCCTTCTGAAGTCAGCTTTGTGCTACGGGGGTGGAGTCACAGATGGTCCACAGAGAGCACAGGCCAGCTCTGCCCTGGGGGAGGGGTGTCACCCAGGGAAACGCGGTCACCTTCGTTCCAGTCCCGTGTGGTGGTGGTGGAAACAAAGCCGAGAACCCCCAACCTAGTCATGATGCTCGAACGCTCCCTTGCCACGAATTCAGGGTGGCTCTTATCCTCTGGGCTGCCCCTAATCTTTGTTTGGCCCCTCCCGCCCCCCGAGAGGTGGTAATCTGAGTTTGCACCGCTGTGATTTTTAAGTTTTTTAATTAAAAGAATTATTTAGCAGGCAAACTCAGATCTGCAGTACAAAATATACTTAAAAAAAAATAAAACCTTTTTATTTTTGAAAAAATTATAGATTCATAGGACATTGCAAAAATAGATCAGAGAGGACAGAGGTCCAGTGGATCCCTCACCCAGTTTCCCCCAATAGTTCCATTTATGTAAATGTCATTCAACAGCAAACCCAGGACGTTGACATTGGTGTATGTGTGTGTGTTTGTGCCATTTTATCACATGTGCAGATTTGCAAAATGTACTTTTAAGGGTTCTTGTGGTGATGCCAACTCCTGAGGGTCTCTAAAAGCCTGCTTCTGGGTGGGCTTGCCCACTGGCCCCCAGAGGCCAAGGACCCAGGAGCAGATCAGGTGGTCGTCTGTGGGGGGCAGCACTTAGTCTGAGGAGTGTCCCTGGGGGAGGGGCTTGGAGAGAAAAGGGTGGGGCTGCTCCCAGGGGCCCAGTGCCTGCCCAGTTGGGAGGGGAGATTGGAGGGAGGCTGGGTTTGCTAAGGAGCTTTGGGGGCTGAGACAGTGTTGGTCCCAAATGTCAATAGTGCCGAGAACCCCTGGTGAGAGTGTCCAGAGGAGACATTGCCAGGACAGGGCTCCTGATCCCAGGCCCAGAAGCAGGAAGGTGGCTGCAGGCTGAGCAGAGGTACAGATAAAGGCATGGATCTGGGAAGAGCATAGTGCATGAGGGACCCACAGAAACCTGGAGTCACTAGAATCTCATGGGGACTCTGGAGAAAAGGAGAAAAGGAGGCCCATGGGCCAAGCAGAGGAGCTGGGAGCTTCTAGGGACGAGGCCTGAAAAGGGAAAGAATTTCATGAGAGCCGCTTGATAGGATCAGACCCGACCACATCCAGGCCGCTCCCAGCAGGATGAGGCACTCCAGGCTCCTCTGGCTTCCACCCTCACTGCGGCCCCTCTGTTATCCGAAGGTGCTAACACATCACTGTTAGCGGGAGAGCCCGCGTGGTACCCGAGGACTCGCGCTCAGGGACTTGTGTTCTCACTGAGTAGGGCTGCCAGATGTAGCAAATAAAAATCCAAGATGCGGGACTTCCCTGGTGGCGCAGTGGTTAAGAATCCGCTGGCCGATGCAGGGGACCATGGGTTAGAGCCCTGGGCCGGGAAGATCCCACATGCTGTGGAGCAACTAAGCCCATGCACCACAACTACCGAGCCTGTGCTCTAGAGCCCGCGAGCCACAACTACTGTGCCCACGAGCTACAACTACTGAGCCCGCGAGCCACAACTACTGAGCCCGCGAGCCACAACTACTGAGCCCGCGTGCCACAACTACTGAAGCCTGTGCGCCTAGAGCCCATGCTGTGCAACAAAGAGAAGCCACCACAATGAGAAGCCCGTGCACCTCAACAAAGAGTAGCCCCCATCCGCCACAACTACATAAAGCCCGTGCACAGCCATGAAGATCCAACACAGTCAAAAAAAAAAAAAAAAATCCAGGATGCCCAGTGAACTTTAGTCTTCAGATAAACAAGAAATGCAGGCAGTGTTTGGGATATATGTCTATAAAAAATGATTGGTTGTTTATCTGAGATTCTAATTTATGTGGGTGCCCTATACTTTATCTGACCAACCAATCGCTGAGGCCTGTGGAGCCTCAGAAGCACCCCACGACCCCGCAAACTCTGAAGCCAGTGTGAAGGGGTTGCTCAGCCCTGGGATCAGTGAGAGAGGGTCTGGAGGGAGGGATGGAAGCTGGGCAGACTCCAACCTGGAGTCCCTCCTGCCTGAGGGATGCTGCCGCTGTGACGACCCCCAGCCCCTCTTTCTCAGCTGGTCCATGCCTGTGGCCCTCTTCTCCTGCCCCATCTCTGGAGTGACCCCACCCTGCGCCGGGCCTTGAGCTGGAAGCTTGGCCCTTGTGTTGATGCCTCCTCCTCCGCCCACTCCTCACCTCCCCCAGTGGCCACACCTACAGCCTCCGGCCGTCACCTGCCTCGTCCTGCCCCTCCCCTTCCAATCCAGTAAAGTGACCTATTTGAAACCCAAGTTTGTGTCATAATCTTATAATGATGGTTTTTAATCCTGCAAAGTATTGTTTGTGTAAAAGATAAAAGAGGAGAATATTAGATAACGACCTTTGGCTGCTGGCAGAGGTCTGAGGATGCTTAAGTGAAAAAACAACTAAATGAGTGAATGAGAGGCCTGGGCCTCTGATTTTAGCTGAGAGGGGATGTCCAGAGGCATCATACCGACATCCGCCCCGCACACACTCTGGCCACTTGCAGAGCCTGAGTGCGGCTAAGAGGTCTAGGCTCTTAAGTCTTCCTGAGGGTACAGAGGGTAGCAATATCAAGAAGCTTCTGGAACTTTCTCTGGGTCTGGATGGGAAATCCTCGTGGGTGAGACCTGTGAATAATCCTGTGCGGCGGGATCATCTGTGGCCCGTGGCTACCTCCTCCCGCCCCTTGATGGGTGCAAGTGAGACACACCGCAGTCCGTGTCCAATCTCGCCTTCTCCCAAACCCACCGCGTTCCTTCTTCTTCTGGAAAGAACATCTAGATGGGAGGGAGAATTCCAGTCTCACAGAAACAGCCTCAGATCTCTTCTTAGTTATATAAAAAGGCAAAGCACACAGACTCTGGAAGCCTGTGCTGAGTCACAAATCATGTGTTACGTCAGACCACACAGGTGGCCCATCCCCTCCCCGGACCCCATTCCCAGGTCTGGGCACGTGGCTGAGCACCTGGCCCTACCAGGCCCCTGAGGGTCAAGTTCTTACCAGGCTTGGTAGGGTTCAGGCCCCAGGGCGTTTCTGGCCTTGCTACTCAAAGTGCGGTCAGCGAGGAGATGTGGAGCTTGGGCCAGAGGGGAGAGCAGATCGCTGCATTCAGCTGACATTTCTTGAAGAAAGAAGCAGACAGGATCGGCCCTCAGAGCAGAAGTATGAGGAAGGAGCAGTTAAAAACAGTCGCTTCTTCTGGTTATAGAACCGTGAGATTCAAAACACACTTGCAGGCCTTGGAGAGAGGCAGGCTGGCCTCTGAGGAGGTCCTGGCAGACCCCGGCGGAGGCCCCTTTGTTGAACCAACTGCCTGGCCCTCTTGAGCAGCAGGTCCTTCCAGACCAGCAGGCCTGGAAGAGACATCACTTTAACTGACAGGCTACCTGCCCACCTTCTGCAGCCTCCCCCAGGTTCTGTCCCTTTGCAAGGTTCCGAAACCAGAGATAAAACCCACCCCTCTGCGGGTTCCATCATCTGGGAGCAAAGCGCCTCTCCTGTTTTTGTGAACTCCACACCGCCGCTGAATCAGCATTTACCTTCACGTCCTCTGCCTTGAGAGGGGCCCGTACTGTGTTGCTTTGACTGTCTTCCCCTGTCTGTTATGGAACTGCTGTTGTGACATCATATCCTACTTTTCGGCTTCATTTCGTTCCAAGGGAGAGAGTCTCTGCAGACAGTGGGAAGACAGTGTCGTTCCTTATCTGTCTTCTCGCGGTTTTGTCTCTTCTGCCTGGACTCTAAGCCTGGGTTCATGCTCTGTTGCAGTGACTCACCCCAGGGGTTTTATGCCTTATCTTGGATGGAACCAGGGTTCAAATCCCACTTCTGCCACCTACTTAGCTGAGTGAGCTGGGGTGGGCATGTGGCCTCTATCTCAGTTTCTGCTTCTGTCAGCTGTGAATAATAACAGCACTTATAATAATAATAATAACCCCCCCACACCCTGCCAGGCTTAAGATTAATGAGTTACATGTGTAATGTGCAGAATGCTGAACACTCAACTGAGTGTGTTCTGCTGTCTGTGTGGGGCTCACAGTGACTGGCATCGGGAAACCCTTCACGTCCTCCTGGAAACAGGCAGGCAGCATCTTCAATAAAATTAGCAACATCTTCTGGCTTGGATAAAATACTGGAAGAGGCTGATGGCTGCATGTTCATTTGCATATATTTGCATAAGAAACACCTTAGCGCCTCTTTTACATTCAGAATGACTGCTCTTGGAGTCTGAGCTGCTGCCGCTCACTGCCAGCTTCAGAGAATCCCACAGTGGGTCACGCCAGGGAAGAGTCACCCCTAGGAAGAAGTGAACTCTTGGTCCTCACCGGGGCACCCTCATGGACAGTTCAGAAGATGGCCTTTCTTCGCCCCCAGGCCACTCCTGCCCCCCTGCCCCCACTGCTGTGGGCCCCGAATGCAAAGCAGTGTTATGAAGGTACAGACGTTTCAAAGATAAACCCTCACAAAATAAATGGCAACACATGCCAGGAGTTTTACCTGCAGTGTGTCCGATCCTCAAGCTTGCAGGCTGCAGTCACGGGGGGCTGTGCACGCCAACTGATTTGCACGCCAAGTGGACGCAGTTGCTTTGACTGGCTGCCACTCTGTGGTCGTGGATCCCTGAGAGTTGATGTTCAAGGCTGATGAGCTGTGGGTGGAAGGCAGGAAGGCCCTGGAAATGCGTGGTCTGGGGAGGGAGGGTGTTTTCAAGGCTCTGAAGATCCTGCTTTGCTCGCCTGTGCCTGATACAGACCCCAGCGCCCTTTCTGCCTCCCTCCTCTAGGTATGCACGTCCTTCACTGCAGAGCACGCCAAGTACGGACACGTCAAGATGCATCATGGCTACACCAACGTGCTGGGCCTGGGGGACTCAAGCACGTGGAGGCTGCCTTGCCTCAACCGCTACGTCTACATGTTCCTCGCTCCTCTCTTGATCCCCATCATAACCCCACTGGTGGCTGTCGGTGAGTATGCCAGGGCTGGGCCCTGCAAGATCTGGTTCCCCCTTTCCTTCCTTCCTCTCCTGGCTTCATGGAAGAAGTGAGAAGCCCTGAGTTGAGACCAGACAGAAACTTTCTGAGACAGCCAGGCAGGGTGGAAAGAACCTTGGTCCTGGGGCCAAGTCTGGCTCTGCCACTTACTGGCTGGTGACCACAGGCAGGTAACCTAACCTCTCTGAACCTCAGGTTCTTACCTGCTCCTCAAAGAGGGTGTGAAACAATTCCACGTATTATATGAGGGATCTAAAGTAGTCAGACTCATTGAAGCAAAGAATAGAATGGTGGCACCAGGGGCTGAGGGGAGGGGAAAATGGAAAGTCCCTGTTCAATGAGCGTGAAGTTTCAGGTTTGCAAAATGAATAAATTCTAGAGATTTGCTATATAACACTGTGCCCAGAGACAACAGTACTGTACCGCACACTTTAAAACCCATGTGGATAAATCTCATGTTAAGTGTTCTTACCACAGTAAAATAAAATAAAAATTTAAAAAACTCTGAGAAGACTAGAAAGTTGCATGGGAAGGCATCAAATGCCTAAATAAATAAATGAATAACCTTTACTCTTTATATTGGATATACAAGCCTCATTTACCATCATCTTGTTGTCTATTTAATAATCCCTGATCATGTTATAAACATTCACTTGTGTTATTGTTTATTAAATATCTTTTTTTCTAAAAAAAAAAAAAAGGATGGTGTGAAAGCATAATGAGGTCATAGATATAAAAATGCTTTCTAAATGCCTCACACTCTATTGCATGTTATAATTTTTAGTATCATAGGAGCAATATCATACGGTGGAAAGAGCAGGGGCGAGGGGACAGCCAGACCTGGGCTCAAGTCCCAGGCCACCACTTACTATCAGACTGACCTTGGTCAGGTTGCTTAATGCTCCGTTTTCTCATCCATTAAATGGGTGAGAACAACAACAGCAACAAAAATACAAAAGGGAATTCCCTGGAGGCCCAGTGGTTAGGACTCGGTGCTTTCACTGCTGGGGCCCGAGTTTGATCCCTGGTCAGGGAACTAAGAATCCTGCAAGCCGCGCGGCCAAAAAAAAAAAAAAAAAAGAAAATGGGCGAACCTACTTTTCAGGGCTGTGTATGGATGAGCTGAACACCTAGGTCACCCTAGTTTGCACTATTGAGCCACCAGGGAGCCAACTCACGTTGGATCGGAACCTCGCCGACCCCTCCCTCTATCTCTTGCCCCTTCTGGCAGAACGGCTGAGAGAGGTGGAGCTCGGGACAGCCCTGCGGACGCTTGGCCTGATTTCCCTGGGCCTTTATTCTCACTACTGGCTGCTGCTGAACGTGTCTGGCTTCCAGAGCCCCAGCTCAGCCCTGGTCTGCATGCTCATCACCAGGTCCCTGCTGGCCCACCCTTACCTTCATGTCAACATCTTCCAGGTGAGGCCTCCCCTACCCTGAGTGCTGGGGGGCTATAGGGATCACTCTCCAGGGTGCCTGGCGCAGGCTGGACCCTAGGTTCCGGGGGGAGAGAGAGGCCACCTGAGGAAGCATCCCTCCACCTCCCCTGCCCACCCTCTCTCTTCCTTTCTCTCTGTGGGTCATCACAGAGAGTTTTGGTCCCAGGTAAGGAGCTTCTCTTCAACACTGGCTGCCCTTCACACACAGATCAGAGATTTATTAAGAAGCTTCTATGTGTAGGTTACTAGACTAAGCTCCGTGGGGACACAAGTGAATAGGACCCCAGCTCCTACCTCCAGGGCTCTTACTGTGATAAGCCCAAGGGCCATCGCAGAGGACCCAGCACACACGTGTCGAGGCAGGCGGATGTGGGAGCTGGAGACGAAGGTCTTCACGGGAGGCCAGCAGCTCAGCACTCAGTTCTGGGCCATTTCCAGGGATGGTCACCTCCCTGCTCCCGGGACAAGTGAAGACCCCAGGTTAGAGCATCCTGCATATGACCATCCCAGCACTTACCACACTGCCATTAATGACTGAATCCCATGACATAATCCCATAGTTGTGTCCCATCTGCTTGTCCTGCTAGAGCAGAAGCTCCCGTTCACTTCCACATCCTCTAGACCGAGGACAGTGCCTGGCAGAGCCGGCATTTATACGTCTTTGTTTTTTTAAAAAAAATGCATTTATTTATTTATTTATTTTTGGCTGCGTTGGGTCCTCGTTGCTGTGCACGGGCTTTCTCTGGTTGCGGCGAGAGGGGGCTACTCTTTGTTGTGGTGCACCGGCTTCTCATTGTGGTGGCTTCTCTTGTTGTAGCACGAGCTCTAGGCACGTGGGCTCAGTAGTTGTGGCTCACGGGCTTAGTTGCTCCGCGGCATGGGGGATCATCCCGGACCAGGGCTCAAACCCGTGTGGCCTGCATTGGCAGGAGGATTCTTAACCACTGTGCCACCAGGGAAGCCCTATACATCCTTGTTGAATGAAAAAATACACAAGGATGCGCAAACTTGATCTTGAACCATGAGCAGGATTTTGGTGAAAAAAAGCAGAGAAGGGTCTCTTTGGGATGCAGGCACAGGGACATGAGGGACGTCGGTGGGCAGTCGTGGGCTTAGAGGACCACGAGATCCGAGAGGCACCCAGGCCAAGCCCTTCATTGCACAGATAGGGAGAGGGACCCGGAGACGGGCGAGACTCAGCGAGGGGCACGGACAGGGTCGCATCGCAGCTGGGTGGAGGACCTCAGCTTCCTCACGCCTCTGCTGGGTCCTGCTGGAGTGGGAGGTGAGGAAGGCGGCAGAACCCATGGTCCCCGGATGCTAGCTGAGGATGCCCGAGGCAGGGTGGGGAGGCACAGGGCTGCCTGGCCCAGCCCCGGGCGTGACCCTTGTGTCTGTCACAGCACATCGGGCTGCCCATGTTCTCCCGGGACAAGAAGCCGCAACGCATTCACATGATGAGCCTGGGGGTGCTTAACCTGCCCCGGCTGCCTGTGCTGGACTGGGCGTTCGGCCACTCCCTCATCAGCTGCCACGTGGAGCACCACCTCTTCCCCAGGCTCTCCGACAACATGTGCCTGAAGGTAGACGAGGGTCGGGCTGGGGGGGCTTGGATGAAGAAACTGTCTCAGGGTGGAGGGGGAGTCACCTTCGGGGTTCTCTAACCAGCTGTCCTGGTCAGAGGTTCCCAGGAAGGTCAGTCCAAGGTACAGGCAGCAGTGTGGGTTTCTGACCAGAGACACCTGGTTTTCTTACTCGCCGTGTGGCTCTGGGCAAGTTAACTGAATGTCTCTGAGCCTCGGCTTCCTCATCTGTAAAATGGGACTAAGTAGTGCTTACGCTGACAGGCTTTGAGGATGAAATGAAGAAATAGATCTGAAATGTTGGGCCCTCCGTAGGTGTTTGGTGAAAAGGAGCTGTGGTTTATCCCCCTACGCAAAGGAGGACTGTCATAGATTCGGGAGCTCCAGAGAAGGGTGCTGGGGAGAAGCCCTCCCTTTCCCTTGCCTGCTGGAAATGGGAGGCGGGAATTCTCCAAGCCCCTCAGCTCCTCCGGAGCATCATGGGACAAAACAGACAGGAGCGGGGGGCTGGGCAGAGGAAGGGTCCCAGTGGGGATGGGCCTGCCCACAGCCCCGGCTCAGCGGCCCCTCCTCCCGCCCACCTTCTGGCAGGTGAAGCCCGTGGTGTCCCAGTTCCTCCGTGAGAAGCAGCTGCCGTACAACGAGGACTCCTACCTGGCTCGCTTCCGGATGTTTCTCCACCACTACGAGGAGCTCATGGTGCAGACCCCTCCCATCACAGAGCTGGTGGGGCTGCAGTGAGGGGCGGGCCGGCGCAGTCACCCCGCTCTCCCTTCCGGGCCCACCCCCGGGGCTGGGAGGGCGCGGCTTGGTTGCCTGGAGGTGGGCAGTGAGACGGCGAGCTCATGCTGGGGGCCCGGGGGCCACCTGCCCTGCTTGCTTTTCCGGGTTTTGAGGAATACCTGGAGGGAAGGAATAAAGGTGGCTGGGCATTCCGGTCAGTCTGGACCTCAGCCAACTTCATCTCAGGACTGAACAGCCGGATTCCTCCCCTGCTCGCTCTGAGCCTTGGTAGGGCTACAGGACGGGGGTAAGGAGGGGCCCTATGGAGGGGGCGGGCTAGGCGGGGACACCGGGAGAGAAGGGTCCGCTCCCTGGTGCCAGGGAGCCCCACACTTGGCCACTGCTGCTTCCTGTGCCCTTGAGATTCTGGCCCCTATGGAGCCCTCTCCCCAGGGACCACAAGGAGAGGTTACCTTTGGCAGAGACCTTCCTAAGCTTTCAGCCCGGAAGCCTGTGCAAGACACTGGCTCAGCAGCTCCCAAGACCCACAGCATCTGTGAGATCAAAGTGTGTGTTCTGTGGGGAGGGCACTCCCGGCGAAATAAGGGGAGAAAGGGTATGAATAGCTTTGAGTGTGACCTTGGCTAGCTCTAGAAGTCTGCTTTGTTCCATGATGTTTACAAGGGGTGGAAGAATTCTCAATTGGAAGAGAGAGAAAATTACTGGGAGGGTCGCTGAGGCTGGAGAGGGGTTCCAGGAACAGGGTCTGGAGGTCAGATGGCCTTAGAGAGGAGAGGAAGGAGGGGAAGGAGAGTGTGTGGGGGGTGCGGATACAAGAGCTGGGGCTCCAGGGCTCGGCTCGGCTGTGAAAGGATGGTCTGCAGCCTGGGAGCGAGATGGGAATATAAGAGAACTACTGGTGCCAGCCGCAGGAAGAGGTCCAGGTACTGGGGACACCACTGAGATTCAGCCCAAAGCGCGCAGCCTTGATTGGCGAGAGGGCTGGGAGCTGCCCTGGCTGGAGGCTGGATTAGAGGGTGGGAGGAAGGGCCCGGCTGGAGGCTGATGGAGGAACAGAGAGGGAGGCCCAGCCTGTGACAGAAGGCCAGAGCAGTTTAAAATACGGTTTCTCACCTCAGCACCATGACGTTTTGGCCAGATAGCGCTGTCGCTGGGGGCCTGTCCTGTGCATTGTAGGTGTTTAGCAGCATCCCCAGCTTCTATCCACTAGGTTCCAGGAACCCAAGTTGTGACCATCAAAAATGTCTGCAGACACTGCCAAATGTCCCCTGGGGGCAGAAATCATCTCTGGTCGAGGACACGCAAGTCTATTCTGAGCACACAATTGCCTTGTTTTTCAGTGAAGTCCTTGGACCAGGTGAAGGGTGTGGTGACCCTGAAGATGGGGAGGCTAAATGCCAGCAAATGGGATGCGCTGAGGGGTCAGAGGGCAGGTGAAGGCATTCTCTAAGCCAGGTCCTATTGGGGAACCTAGCTCTGGTGTGGCCTTAGGTGGCTCTGCTGGGCAGCTGCCACTTGCCCGTCCAGAGCCATTACCTTCTCCTCCACCCTGTGCTCCTGTCCCGAAGCCCACACCTCCTGTCCGGCGCCCTCTCCTACAGCTACAGCTCTCACTACTTCTGAAACAGTCCCTCCTTTTGCTCCTTCCGGCCCTGGGCTGGTAGTGGCTTCCAGCTATTGCTAGCCCTGGAGGGACTTCACCACACCCTGCATCCTGCTACACCTCTGCACAGAGTTCCTTCATTAAACTCTCTTCAGTCAGCCCCTCTGAGCACACTGTCTGTTTCCTGCTGGGAGGCTGACTGATAGAGCAGAGGTTTGGATCCAAGCAGCCCTCTTGGAACGAGGCAGGCTTGGCAGCACCCCCCCACCCTTACTGCTTTGCTATGTTATCGCTGCTCTTTTGAAATGCATTAGCGACTCAGACGTGGCCTTAAGGACTGGGAATGCGATTAATCAAACTGCTTATTCTCCACAAGAAAAATGCAACATCAGAAAAGGCCCCATTGCACAGTCCTGGCTAATGATTAAAACCATCCTAGCGCTTCCCTGGTGGCGCAGTGGTTAAGAATCCGCCTGCCAACGCAGGGGACACGGGTTCGAGCCCTGGTCTGGGAAGATCCCACATGCCACTGACCAACTAAGCCCGTGCGCCACAACGACTAAGCCTGCGCTCTAGAGCCCGCGAGCCACAACTACTGAAGCCCGCGCGCCTAGAGCCCATGCTCTGCAACAAGAGAAGCCACCGCAATGAGAAGCCTGTGCACCGCAACAAAGAGTAGCCTCAGCTCTCAGCAACTAGAGAAAACCTGTGTGCAGCAGCGAAGACCCAATGCAGCCAAAAACTAAATAAATAAATTTATTAAAAAAATAAAAATAAAACCATCCTAATGCAATCAGTGACTCATTGTTATTGATCTGGGCCTGAGTGGGGAATGTGCTGCAGCTGGAGGCCCTGGTACCAGACTTGGCTGTACAAGAAGCACCCAAGAACACTCCATCACTTTGAAGCTCGATTTTCTGTTGTGCTGGGATTGTGGCTGGGTTTGCGTGGGGCTTGAGAGATGAGGGGAGATGACAGGAGTGAATGAAGCCCCTCTAGGGCTCTGCAGACACCTATGGTCTAATTAACAGAGGTGTATCGGAGGTGATAATGTTTACAATGATGATGATGATAGCTAACATCAATTCAGAACTTACAGCACGTTTTCCCCTATGCTATCTAACTTTAATCTTTACAAGAAATTGGTACTATTTTCCCCTCACGTTACATATTGTGAAGATAAGCCTTAAAGAGATTAAACTTATCAATATCATATAGCTAGCAAGTGGAGGAAGAAAGATTCAAACCTGGTGTGTCCAACTCCAGAATTCCTGCTCTTAACCACCAGACATACTACCTCTGGGTAGGGAGCCCTATAGGGCTTGCTGGGGTGTCAGATCCTGAATCTCCTTCTCTTCCTCCCGTCTTAATAAATGGATCATTAAGACAAACTCTTTACGAACATCCATTATGTGCCAGGCACTGTGCAAAGCTCTGGGGATAAAAGAGTGAATGAGAGTGGGCCCCAATCTCCTGGAGCTTACCGTCTAGTGCAGGAATTGACAGACTTTTTCAGGAAAAGGCAAAATGGTAAATATTTTGGGCTTTGTGGATGATATGGTCTCTGTCACAACTACTCAACTGTGTCGTCAAAGTGCAAAAACAGCCAGAGACAATATGTAAAGAAATAAGCATCACTGTGTTCTAATATAATATGTATATTTTTGGCCATGCCGCGAGGCTTGCAGGATCTTAGCTCCCCAACCAAGGATCGAACCCGGGCCCCGGCAGTGAAAGCGCTGAGTCCTAACCACTGGCCCGCCAGGGAGGTCCTTAAAAGAATTTTTTTTTTATTTTATGTAGTTTTCACATGTCACAGAACATTATTCGTTACAGTTTTAGAAAAACTATTTAAGAATGTAACAGCCATGAACTTACAAAATACAAAACAAATACAAAACAAAAATACAAAAAAAATACAAATACAAAAAATACAAATACAAAAACAGGTGGTGGGCAGGATTTGGGCTGCAAACAGTAGTTTGCCTACTCCTGGTCTAGTGGGATGAGCACAAAACACAATGACTTATTAGAAATCAGAGCAGTATTTACCTCTGAGTACCAGGGAGGGGAAGTGACTAGAAGGGGCACAAGGAATTCCTGGGGGTGCTGGCCATGTTCTACTTGATCTGAGTGGTGGTTACATGGTTATATTTTGTGGTGACTCATCACATAGTACACTTATGGTTTGTGCACTTTTCTGTTCATTGTACTTTGTAAAGAAAAAAATGTTGCCTGCCATTCCAGTTCTACAAGAATCAAGCCATTAGCTACTGCAGTCACCCACTGGCAATGATCCCAAAGAGGAATTCAGGATGGGGAAAACCAGGAAGCATTCTGTGCTTTGGATATACTGGTCCCAGATAGTTCATTTATATATCTAAGGAAAAATTTCAGTGACCCCATATTCTTGCATCTTACATGGAAAAGCAGTAAAAGCATTAACTCGAGATGTCTGTTCTTTGTGATGAGCAATACTCTTTTTTTGCTTGACTACATGTTTTTCCCAGCAAAAAAAGTTCATATATATCCTGGCTCCTCCCCTACCTCTTTGGAGTAGTTTCTCAGAGTAATCTGAGAGGCTGTCTCCTGGGCTACAGTCCTCAGTAAGGTCCCGGAATAAAACTGAACTCACGATGTGTACATTGTGCATTTTTCTTTTAGTCGACAACTTCAATAAAAAAAATAATTTAAGAATGATAGGGACTTCCCTGGTGGTGCAGTGGTTAAGAATCCGCCTGCCAATGAAGGGGACACGGGTTCGAGCCCTGGTCCAGGAAGATCCCACATGCCGCGGAGCAACTAAGCCCGTGCGCCACAACTACTGAGTCTGAGCTCTAGAGCCCGCGAGCCACAACTTCTGAGCCTGCGAGCCACAACTACTGAAGCCCACGTGCCTAGAGCCCGTACACCGCAACAAGAGAAGCCACTGCAATGAGAAGCCCGTGCACCGCAACGAATAGTAGCCCCTGCTTGACACAACTAGAGAAAGCCCGCGTGCAGCAACGAAGACCCAATGCAGCCAAAAATAAATAAATAATTAAAAATTTATTAAAAAAAAAGAATGATAAAGCAGTGTAATAGGTAATGATGGGCTGGAGTGCTGCAGGGACAAAAAGGGGCCCTAACCCAGCTTGGGAGAGGATGGGTCAGGAAAGGCTTCTCCAAGGATGTGCTTCACAAGAAGGCCCTTGGGGGAAGGGTGGGGGAGGCAGCATCAGAATCACTGGGTCAGATGTGACTACGGACCTGTCATTTAAAAATACATCTCGTTATGATCCAGCAATCCCACTACTGGGCATATACCCAGAGAAAACCATAATTCAAAAAGACACATGCACCCCAACGTTCACTGCAGCACTATTTACAACAGCCAGGTCTCGGAAGCAACCTAAATGCCCAATAACAGACGAATGGATAAAGAAGGTGTGATACATATATACAATGGAATATTACTCAGCCATAAAAAGGAACAAAATTGGGTCATTTGTAGAGTCGTGGATGGACCTAGACACTGTCATACAGAGTGAAGTAAGTCAGAAAGAGAAAAACAAATATCGTATATTAACGCATGTATGTGGAATCTAGAAAAATGGTGTAGATGAACCAGTTTGCGAGGCAGAAATAGAGACACAGATGTGGAGAACAAACACCAAGGGGGGAAAGTCGGGGAGGGGGGGATAGTGGTGGTGGTGGGATGAATTGGGAGATTGGGATTGACATATATACACTGATATGTATAAAATAGATAACTAGTAAGAACCTGCCGTATAAAAAATAAATTAAAAAAATACATCTTGTTTCTTGTGGATTTTTTTGCCTTAATTTTGATGTTCTGAAACACTGCATTACAAGATTATTACTTTGATTACTGAGGTTTTTGGCGCCCCCTTAAATTTTGTACTCCAGGCCATTGCCTCATACGCCTCACCCTATTCCAGCCTGCTGGACAAGGGTGGGAGATCTGGCTCTGCCCTTGGTACAGAAGGCAAGACGCTCCTCTCTGTTCCCTCACCTTTGTAAAGGGGAGGACGATTAAGCAACAAGATCTCCAAGGTTTAAAATTCTCCCTGGCCCAACCTGGACAGCATCTTATCGGGGTCAAACCTGTGTAACGCCCGGCGCCGGTGAAAGGAATGCCCGAAGTCCTGCCTGGAGACCCTTTTTCCAGACTTCCGGACTCTGTGGTTATTACCCAATGAGCGGGGAGGCTCGCTTGAACCTGGCTTGTGATTGGCTGAGATGGAAACGAGCCGGGGTACGTTATCAAATGGGACAGGCGTTGCGTCATCAGCAAGCGACGACAGCTTCCGGGGGTGGGGTAAGTAAAGTAAGCTCCTTTCTAATTGGTTCCTTCTTTCAGGCGGGATTGAAACAGCAATGGGGATTTGCTCTCCTCCAACTCTAGGCTCCAGATAATTGGAGGGAGGGTAAAGATTACGGAGCAATTTATTGAGTCACATACGGCCCGGAAGTCCTGGGGGACGGGCTCTCAGCGGAAAGGGGTGGACCAGGGGGGCGGGCTTTGCATTAGGGCGGCGGGATTCTTTCGTGTGTGGGGGTGGAGCCGCCACGCTGTGCTTTCCTGGAGCGTGGGAGGCGGGATTTGGGGCGGGGCCGCAATTGTGGGCGGGGTCCCAAGAAGGACGAGGGCGGGGCCGGAGCCGGCGCGGGAGATCAGGGCGGGGTCGGGTCCGCTGTCTAGTTGCTTTTTCCAGGCATGGCTCCGCGCTCTTGGCGCTGGTGGCCCTGGACGGCATGGCCTCGGACCCGGCCGCCTCCTTCCGAAAGCACCCAGAGTAGGAGCAGGGCACCTGTAGGGCTGAATGGGAGCGTGGGGAGGCCTGCGAGCGCTAAGTATAGGAGTAAGAGCCGAGCTGGTTCAGGGCTGGAGAGGGGAGAGAGAGGGGACCAGGGGCGAGACTGGAGGGGTCCACTCATGCAGATGAGATGGGGGTGGTGTACAGGGGCAGGTGGCCGCCTGTGCGGTAATATGTGAGGCTCCTGGGGTGAGACAGGGGTCAACAAAAGTGAGAAGGGGAGACCATGATGTCCACAGAAGTGAGAAGGAGTGAATGGGGGGTGATAAGGAGGTCTGTGGGGCGAGAGGGAAGTCTGAGGCGAAACAGGGGCCTCTATGGGCAATAGAGGGCTCTGTGGAGAGAGAGGTAAGAAGAGGTAAAATGGGGCCTTGTGGGGAGATCCACAGGGGCGATATGGGGTCTCTTGGAAGGATGTGGTATTCTAGCTGGGTGGGTTGGGAACCCGGTGAGAAAAATTAAGAAGTGCTGAGCAGGGAAACTTCAGGGGTGATGGGGATTGTCGAGTAGGCCATCTTCAGCGGCATAGTAAGTTCATGGGTGAGATGAGGGCTCTGGATGGAGACACAGCCTTTGGGAATTCAGATGAAGTAAGGGACCCTGCAAACGCCAAAGCTTTGAGGAAAGAGAGAAGGAGTGCACAGATGAGGGTGAAGCCTGGGAAACCCCGTTTTCTGTTGGACACTGAAGTTGGGGCTTGGGATGGGGAGGGAGTCTTTTTTTTTAATTTTTTAAATTTTATTTTATTTTATTTATTTATGGCTGTGTTGGGTCTTCGTTGCTGAGTGCAGGCTTTCTCTAAGTCGCGGCTGGTGGGGGCTACTCTTCACTGCAGTGCGCGGGCTTCTTATTGCTGGGGCTTCTCTTGTTGCGGAGCACGGGCTCTAGGAGCACAGGCTTCAGTAGCTGTGGCCCGTGGGCATCAGTAGTTGTGGCTCGCGGGCTGTAGAGCGCAGGCTCAGTAGTTGTGGCGCACAGGCTTAGTTGCTCTGCAGCATGTGGGATCTTCCCAGACCAGGGCTCGAACCCGCGTCCCTTGCATTGGCAGGCGGATTCTTAACCACTGTACCACCAGGGAAGTCCCGGGAGGGAGTCTTGAACTGACCTTCCTCCCCGGTCCCCCCTGCCCTAGGCTTCCACCAGCAGTTCTCCACACAGGAGCAGACCCCCCAGATCTGTGTGGTGGGCAGTGGCCCAGCTGGCTTTTACACCGCCCAACACCTGCTAAAGGTAAGCCGCTTCCTCCTGGTTCCTTTTCCCATGATTCACCTGCTGCTCCAATCCTAAGGGCAAGCTCCACTCCTTCGGGTTTTAAAAGCACTCCTGGGTCCCTGAAGGGGAAGGGGCTCCCAGCCCATCTAGACGGGACATTTCCTGCATGCTTTGTCACCTGGGGCTCCCCACTCTAGGTCCTCAGCTAGAAGAGAAGTGTGTTTGCCTCATGGGTGATGGTCAGGGGTCTGTGGCAGACGGTCGGCTATGCCTTCTTGGCCAAGTACTCCAGGGAGCTTATGCAGACCTGCGTGATGACTTTGTTCTGCCCCTCGTCTTCCCTTCTCCTCTGTCTCCACTCTGTCCCGAACATCCTGCATCTTGAGGCCACCCCCTCTGCTCAGGGATTTCTGTAACTTTAGGCCCCTCACTGCACTCTCCTCGCCAATAGCTCCAGCCCTCCCCTTGCCATGCTGGTCTTCCAGCATGCTCTCCACCCTCCATTCCACGCCTTCCCCCCACCCCATGGCCGGGGTCTCAAGGTTTATAGTATTAGCCTTGGTGGGCAGGGCCCCAAGGTTGCTGGTCACCCTTGAAACCTCGGCAGACCTTGGTGGGAGGGAGGAGGGAGGGAGAATCATGGGTTGGCGTGAGTTGGTGGCGGTGGGGTGGGGTGGGGGAGGGGTGCGGGAGACCTAGGCTGACTGAGACATAGGACGATGACCTTGCTGTGGAGAGAGAGGAGAAAGGATGAATATATTAATTACACGCACACACACACACACACACACATATGCAGATATTAATACTTAAAAAGTAGGGCGATCAACCTGCTCAGCTTGCCCAGGATGTAAGGCTTTCAGTGTTAAACTGGGAGGGTCTTGGGGAGGCCAGGATGAGTCGGTCACCCTGCCAAAAAGTGACCTAAGCACGGCTTCCAAGCAGCACAGGGGAAAGAGCTAATTACGATGAAGTGACCAGCGTGAGCCCAGTTGGGTGGGGTCAGTCAGAAAGTGCTTCCTGGAGAAGTGAGTTGAAGGAGGTCTCAGGCTCTGGAGAGGGCCTCCCGCACGGGCGCTGGCAGGAAGACCAGGGATCTCCCAGGGGCTGGGGAGGTCCTGGAGGGCTCTGTGTAAGGGGCACTGTGCGAGCGGAGCCTGCAGTTTGGAGAGGGAGGCGGGTAGGCCTCCCAGGCAGGATTCTCAATGTCCCCAGTGTGAACAAAGGCTCTGGCCTGCACATACTTTCCCTGGGGGAGGTGCTGGGGGATGGGCACCGAGGCCAGTTACAGGCTGGTCCTGGCCCACTGGGAGCTCCAAGCGACTGGCTGTGCTCCCGCGGCAGGGACACGCGCAGCACATTTGGGACAGTGGCACTTAGCCGAGTCAGGCACTGTGTGTACTGCATCTCATCGCATCCCCAAGACAAGTTGCGAAGCAGGTGGCATGACTGTTGCTTCACAGATGAGAACTGAGCGAGGCTGCCCAAGGCCCCACCTCTGAGCAGGGAAGGCCTGGGTTCTGAGCGTGGGCACTCCGATGGCAGAGCCCGCTCTTAAGCTCCAGGCTGGGCCATTCAGTAACCAACCACTGGACACTGACATGATCCAGGCACAACTTGGCACTGGGAACATGGGTGCGAGCAGGACAGACGTGGTCCCCATGCTCAAGGACCTGACAATCTACTGTGGGGGGTTGTGGAGTGGTGGGAAGAGGGTTTATGCGGTATTCTAGGGCTCTGATGTGGCGGGGGGGGGCGTGTACAGGACGGGTACCTAACCCAGCCTGGAGGAGGTGACGTCCAGATTACTGTCTCAAGGACAGAAGGACAAGCCCGGTGGGGCAGGGGAATGGGTAAGAGGCCAGAGGGCCCCAGGCACAGAGAACCGTGTGACAAAGACCCAGAGGAAAGAGAATGCGGGTTTGGGGACCGTTGAGTTCAGGAAGGTGGGCGTGTGCAGTGAGGGTGGAGGGGTGAGAGCAGAGGCTGGAGGAGGTAGGCGGGCCCAGATCCTTGTGGCTGGGAAGCCACTGACCAGCTTGGACTCATGCAGTTTCTCTTGGTGCTGTCCCCCCCCTTCCCTCCATCAGAGACCTCTGGGGGACTTGTGAAAATACACATTTCTGGGCCTAGTTCCCACCTAATCAAACTGTGTCTGGGGCCCAGGAATCAACATTTGAAAACAACCCCCTGCCTGCTGCTATAGGTGGTTGGCTTCAGTGAAGGGTTTTAGGCAAGGGACTGAAAGCACCCCGTTTTTGATCTGGTGCCCTCTCTCTGCCTGCAGAGCGAGAGGCAGGGCTAGTGGCCGAAAGAGCAGTGGGGAGGATGGGGGTCTGATTGGACAGGGTAGAGGGGAGTCAGGGAGGAGCCCCAGCTTCCGACCCCGGAGCAGAGGGGGAGAGGTTTGGGGGAGGGGAGGACTGACTTTCATCCCAATGGGTGTGAGGTGTCAGGGGTGAGCTGTTCAGGGGTCTCAGGCTTGGTGGGGGGTCTGGGCAGAAGAGAGAGAGTAGAATGTCATCAGTAAGTCCACGGGAATTTGAGGTCACAGGAGGGAGCGGATGACAATTCCCCAGGGAATGTGTGTGGGGGCAAGGGAAGGGGGGTGTCTCAGATTGGAAGAACCTCAGAGAATATTCTTGTTAGAGGGGGGACGGAGAAATAGGGGCCTGGAAAAGAACAGCCAGAGGGACAGCCAGGGACCTGTGAGAGCTAGGGAGGAGGGGCATCCTGGAAGATGAGGCCAGTCCTGTGAGAGAACCAGTAAATAGGTCCAGCGGGTTGAGCCTTATGGAGGTGGCCTTGGAGAGAGCGCTGTGAGCTGGAGGGAAGGCTCCACAGCTGGAAAGAAGGGAAGATAAGATGGAAAGGCGGATAGCGCCCGGTATCGACCTCCAGGCTCAGCAGTTTGAACTTTGTCCCGCGGCAGGACAGCCAGGGAAGGTTTGTGAGCAAGGTGGTGTGACGGTAATGACAGCTTTTGATTGAACACCCACAGCAGGTCACTCCCTGGGCTAAGGGTGTAGGCTTTGCTCATTTCATCCAGAAGCCCACGCTGGAAGGAATGTTCTGTGGTCCAGTAAGGAACATTCCAGCGGCACAGAGTCAGATAGCAGTGGGGCTGGGTTGGCCCCGCGGCTGTTGACTCCAGAGCTGCAGCTCTTCAAGGGCACAGCGACGTCAGCGGGGCTTGAGGGGGGTGGGGAGAGTCGGGAGGCACGATGGGTGCGTGGGGGGCCGGGACTTGGGTGCAGGCAGTGGGATGTGGACAGAGGCAAGGAGCTGAGCGGGAGGCTTTGTTGGGCTGAGGGCTGCTGGAGGGCAGGAGCTCATTTGCCTCGAGTCCCACTGAATCGGGAGTGTGGAATCGCGCCACAGCCTGATCGGGCACGAGGCAGGGTAGTGTCACCCACGGGAGCCCCAGCTGCTTGACCCTGAACCTGCTTGTGGCCCAGAGTCTCACCGTCCTGGCCTCCGGGATGTTTCCCAACAACCCTGAGGGGCGTGTCATCTGTCCCGGTTTACAGAGGAAGAGACTGAGACCTGGGCGGACACTGGGACTTGCCGGGGCCATGCAGCTGTTTGGTGGCAGAGCTCCACCACACTTGTCTGCCCGACCCCCAAACCTGAGCCTTCCCCACGGCCCCTCTGGGTGCCCCGGGGTGGGGGGCAGGCAACGTGGAACCGACATACGAGTGAGATTGTTTTTTCTAAGACTAGGAGTAGGGCCACTTCCATCCCCTCTGCTCCCCTCATGCCCCAGCTGTGCCTCTAAGTCTCTGTCCTGCTGGTCCGCTTTCCAACAGGATGGTCTCGGACGCTAGAGCTAAAGCAGGTGTGAGTTTCCAAGGGTGGTTCTCAGGTCATCTGTGGGCTGGGCATTTCTAGAAGTGTCCGCGGGTTCTAGGGCAGGGCTGTGTGTCACGTCTGACCCAAGTAGACGAAGAAGCTCCCCTGATACGACTCCAGTGGAGGGAAAGCTGCCATCTTCCTTGGTTGGCCAGAGTTCTTGCCATCTCAGTGGGCTGGCAGTCCTTGAAGTCTGGCCTTGGCTGCCTGGCCCTGTGCTGCCCACTCCTCTAGCCCGGCTCTCTAGGCAGATGGGGAGTCGTGGGCCTTTCTCTCTCCTTGCAGAGGGTCAAGGCCACCTTGTTAGCCCACTGAGCTGGGCTCTCCTGCTTTGTCCTGGGAAGGGCAGGACCCACAGGGGCCCCCCTCGGCCCCACAGCCATTGCCTTCTCCCCCAGCACCACTCCCAGGCCCACGTGGACATCTACGAGAAGCAGCTGGTGCCCTTCGGCCTGGTGCGCTTTGGCGTGGCGCCCGACCACCCCGAGGTGAAGGTGGGTCTCTCTGGGCTCAGAGCAGGGCTTTGGAGACTTGACCCCAGGCCCTCTGGGGGGATGCCATACGGGACATTGTGGGGTGAGGGTGGCACAGCCACGGGCCCTGGAGCTGCCCCACCCTCTAACCCCTCCCACTCCGGGCCCCGGCAGAATGTCATCAACACTTTTACCCGGACGGCCCACTCTGACCGCTGTGCCTTCCACGGCAACGTGGTGGTGGGCAGGGATGTGACCGTGCAGGAGCTGCGGGACGCCTACCACGCCGTGGTGCTGGTGAGCGCAGACGGGGAGGGGGCAGGGCCGCCGCAGTGGTTGGTGGCAGCGGGTGGAAGACCTAGGGGTGAGGGCCACGGCGGAGGCTGTGGAGGAGGAGCCGGAAGGAGGCCGCTGGGAGCCCGGCGGGGGCTGCCTGGCCCCTTAGCCGCTGCTGAGGCCTCTGGGTCTTTCCTCAGAGCTACGGGGCGGAGGACCATCGGGGCCTGGAGATCCCCGGAGAGGAGCTGCCGGGCGTGCTCTCAGCCCGGGCCTTTGTGGGCTGGTACAATGGGCTTCCTGAGAACCGGAAGGTGAGTTTGGGGAGCGCTCCCCCGGCCTCTTCCTCCCCACTCCTCCACCGGGGCCAGTGGCAGCTCTTGGCTGCCGCAGCTCGGGGAAGAGGGAGCCACAGGCCTGGGAAGCGCGCAGTGAGATGAGATGTGAAACATCAGGCTGGCTGAGGGGCGAGGCCCCTGGGAAGAGGGGGCGCCGGGTCGGGGTGGAGGGACCTGAGCTGAAGCTCAGGGCGGGTGGACTTTCCGAGAGTAGGAGAGCCTGAGGGTGCGGCCGGGGACTGGGCGTGAGGCTGAGATTAGCCTGACTGGGGCCGAGGTTAGGGGACCCCTATCCAGACCTCTGTCCTCCAGCTGGCGCCGGACCTGAGCTGTGACACGGCCGTGGTTCTGGGGCAGGGGAATGTGGCTCTGGATGTGGCCCGGATCCTGCTGACGCCACCTGAGTACCTGGAGGTGAGTGGGTAGGTCAAGGGCCGGAGGGGTGGAGGGGGGTCACACCAAGGAGAGGGTGACCCTGCCTGCAGGGTTTGGGCCTCGTGCCTCCACGCTGAGCCTCTGTTTCCCCTTGGTGCTGGGCAGAGGCCTTCTAGAAGGCAGCCCGTGAGCTTCGTCTCATACCATTTCCCCCTTCACATTCTGCAGCTACATAGGCTTTTTTTTTTGCGCTGTACGCGGGCCTCTCACTGCTGTGGCCTCTCCCGTTGCGGAGCACAGGCTCCGGACGCGCAGGCTCAGCGGCCATGGCTCACGGGCCCAGCCACTCCGTGGCATGTGGGATCTTCCCGGACCGGGGCACGAACCCGCGTCCCCTGCATCGGCAGGAGGACTCTCAACCACTGCGCCACCAGGGACGCCCCCATAGGCTTTTTTGAAAAAAGTTTTCAGTATACACACACCATTCCTCTTGCTCAGAACCCTCTCAGCTCCCCTCCTGCCCGTTAACCTGTTTGCATCTTTTAGTTCTTGGTTCAGTTCTCCCTTCCTCCAGGAAGCCTCCATGGACCTGAATAGGTCCATTTCCCTGTAATACTCTCCTCCCATAGACTTGGCTACTTCTGTTTCAAAGCATGTTGTCACCACTGCGATTTTATACTTTTTATTGAATATTCGATAAGTCTCTCTCTCCACCAGATCAGAAGCTCTGTGAAGGCCAGTACCACGTCTCTTTTGCTCAACATTGACACCCCCCCATCCATGCCCTTTGCACAGTGCCTGGCATGTGGTAAACACTCAGTAAACACTTGTTGAATGAAGAGCGTGGGCCTGGTTTGCTACTAATTGGAGCCATTCGCAGAATTGGCAGCAGTGCTCCATCCGGCCACCGGGGGGATGGGCAGCGGTGCCACTTCAGGCTGCCAACCTTCTCACCGCCCAGCCAATGGAGAGGTCCCCCTTCTGCTGTCAGTGTCCAACGACTTTAAGGTCCTCCTTTTGTGCCAGAAAACGGATATCACGGAGGCTGCCCTGGGGGCACTGAGACAGAGTCAGGTGAAGACGGTGTGGATAGTGGGCCGACGTGGACCCCTGCAAGTGGCCTTCACCATTAAGGTGCTGGGGCCTGAGGGAGAGGGGCCAGGGTCCCAAGTAGATGGTCTGCTCCTTGGGGGGTGTGGCAGGGCAGAGCTGCCTGGGGTGGAAGAGGGAGAGCCAGGCAGGGCCCCCCCTGGGGCCCAGTGCCTTGTGTGCTGGTGGGAGCTGGTGGTGTCTCCCACCTGGGCTGGGCTCTGGGGTGGGCTCAGGAGTGGACAGTGCTCTGGGCCTGACTCCTCCCCCACTCCCCGCCCACACCGCCAAGGAACTTCGGGAGATGATTCAGTTACCAGGAACTCGGCCCATTTTGGATCCTGCGGATTTCTTGGGCCTTCAGGACAGAATCAAGGGTGAGGGGCCCTGGCCCGGCCCCCCGGCTCACTAGGGAGGGGATGGTCTAGGTCAGAGAGGGCTCGGGAAAGGCATTAGGGGAGAGGGCTGTAACCCGGACGCCGCCCTGAGATGTTCTGTGTTGCTAACAGAGGTCCCTCGCCCGAGGAAGCGGCTGACGGAACTACTGCTTCAAGCAGCCACGGAGAAGCCAGGGGTGGCGGAGGCTGCCCGCCGGGCATCGGCCTCCCGCGCCTGGGGCCTCCGCTTCTTCCGAAGCCCTCAGCAGGTGCTGCCCTCGCCAGATGGGCGGCGAGCGGCAGGCATCCGCCTGGCAGTCACCAGACTGGAGGTGAGTCTCCTGTTACCCAAAGACACCCCCATTCTCAAATCTCCCCAGCCCCAGCCTGGCGCTTCCCACCCTCTCCCCACAGGGTGTTGGTGAGGCCACCCGGGCAGTGCCCACTGGAGCCGTGGAGGACCTCCCCTGTGGGCTGGTACTGAGCAGCATTGGTTATAAGAGCCGCCCCATCGACCCCAGTGTGCCCTTTGACCCCAAACTCGGGGTCATCCCCAATATGGAGGGCCGGGTTGTGGATGTGCCAGGTGAGAGGGTGCAGTGGGGGGCAGGGAGGCTGGTGTCTCCCGGGGCCATTCACATTCATTCATTCATCTGGTGACATGCATTGAGAACCTGCTCTGAGCCAGGCCCTGTCCCAAGACCCTGGCCCTGCCTCAGCCTCCTCTTGGCCCTAGAGGAAGCTCCCAGTCTAGCTGAGATGCCCACACATATGTCTGGTTATTAAGTCATTCAGTTTACTGAGGCCTGCTCTGGGCTAGGCCTAGTGCTGGGACTGGAGACGAAGCAGCAGCCCCTTGGCCTCAGCGAGCTTCCAGCCTGATTTAATATCCACAGACCTGTCTAGTCATTCATTAATTCGTTCAGTGTTTACTGAGAGCCTGTTGAAACAAGGTGGGCAGGACCCAGCTCCTACAGGGAGCTCCTGGTCTACAGGGACACTGAGGTGTAAGGGGGATGGCATGGTAAATACAGGTTGGGAAGCATTGAGGGCAGTGGGCCAGCGGCCAGAGTGGGCCCAGCTGATGGATGCTGGGAGGCCGTGGGGTGTATGGAGGCGTGCGTACATGTGTGTGTGCTGAGGCCCAGGCTTGCCAGGGGTGTCTGGCCAACTCCCCATTCCTTACCCCTTTGTTACCCCTCTCCAAGGCCTCTACTGCAGCGGCTGGGTGAAGCGCGGGCCCACAGGTGTCATCACCACTACCATGACTGACAGCTTCGTCACCGGCCAGATTCTGCTGCAGGACCTGAAAGCGGGGCTGCTGCCGTCTGGCCCCAGGCCTGGCTATGCAGCCATCAAGGCCCTGCTCGGCAGCCGAGGTCTGGGCCCCGTGTGAGCTCCTGGGAGGTGGGGTGGGGGTTCCCTGGGCCCTTCACTGTCTGGAAGGGGGCTGCTCTGGGCTGGGGTAGGGGAGGAGGTGAAAGCAGTGACCCGTTTTCCCTCTGCCGCAGGGGTCTGGCCTGTTTCTTTCTCGGACTGGGAGAAGCTGGATGCTGAGGAGGTGTCCCGGGGCCAGGGTGCGGGGAAGCCCAGGGAGAAGCTGCTGGATCCTCAGGAGATGCTGCGGCTGCTGGGACGCTGAGACCAGATCCCAGGCAGGCACGGAGGGGAGGAGTGCTGTGCGGGGGAGAGGGATCGGGGTCAGTCTGAGCAGGACTCTGCACCACAGCTGCATCGCCTGGCCGTCCTGGCGTGGGGCCTTGGCTGCCCCTTTGCCAGGGGCCTCTGAGCATTTCCTCGTGCCAGAAAGTCGCTCTTGCCACTGTGGGCAACTCTCAGCAAGGAGATAACCTTAGTTAGGGATGGGTGCAGGTGCAGGCTGACCTTCCTCCCTCCTGCCTATCTCCTGCTGGACTTTGGAGGGTCACCAGGTCGGAAATATGCTGGAAATAAAACACCTGCAACCGAGGGACAGTGGTTGATGTGCGACTTCTTCTGGGGCCCGGGGTCACCTTCCAGCTGCAGCTCCCCTCCAGTCACCAGGTGGCGCTGCAGAGCCAGCTCCCTGTTCAGGGGCCTCCTGGGGGCTTGAAGGGTTTTGGCAGCCAGTGCTGGCACCCACCGTCTTTTTCTCAGCTTGGTCCTGCTGCGGCAGCCGACCTGCCTTCTGCCCACACGGCAGGCACCTTGCCTACTCTGCTGGCCCTACTGCTGGGTCCCCTCCCTGGTTAGTACGACCCAAACAAGAACAGAGAGAGCTGGGCAGCAGCTTGCCCCATCTGCTCCCTGTGGCCCCTCTGTCTGGGGCGGGTCCCCCACTCTGTCCTTCCCGCCTTTGTTGGTTTCCAGCCAGACTGACAAGCCTTGAAAAAATAGTACCTCAATGTCCGTAGCCTGTTCTCCATCTTTTACACCAGGCCCCAAGATGCTGGCCTCACTTTATAGACAGGGGGCTTCTCGGAATTAACCGGCCCAAGGTCACACACTCAGTGAGCTTCGGGCTCGAACCCGGGGTTCCGGGCAGCCCGTTTTCTCCGAGGTTGCACTTGGTCCCGAGTGTCCTGTCGGGTCTGGGGACACAGTCGTGGAGAGGGGAGAAGGGACGCGAGGGCGGGCAACAAGAGTCCTAGAACAGCACGGGAGCGGGCGGCGGGGTGGGCCGGCCGGGGCGGGCCGGGGCGGGGCGGAGGCTGCGGGCCCCGGTGGGGCGGGCCCGCGCGGGTGGCGGCGGCGGCAAGCGCTCCAACACAGCCGGTCGGCGAGCCCTGGAAGCCTGAGCGCGGCGCGCTGCCCAGCCCGGGACGGAGCCGGGCGCCGAGCGGGCCACTAGAGGGGCCCGGGGGGCGGGCCCAGTCCAGCGCGCCAGGCCGCGCCACGGGCACCGGCCCCGCGGTGCCCTAGCTCAGGCGCCCGCCGGGCTAGGACAGCACGCGCCAGCGCGCTGAACCGAGGCGCGGGGACAGGCAGCGCGCGGGAGGCGGTCGGCGCGGGCTCTGGGCGCGGGCGCAGCGCCCCTTCCCCCCGGTGAGTGGCGGGCGCCGAGCTGGGGGCGCCAACTTCGCCGCCAACTTGGGGCTGGGCTCAGGCGCCGCGCGGGCAAGGACAGCGGAGACAGATGGCGCGGCACCGGGGAGAGTCTGGTGGACGCAGGGAACCCCAGGAAGGGGGCGCCGGGGGACCGGGACCCTCGGGGACCGGGCCTGGGGTTTGGACCCGGGCGGGCGGAGAGGAGGTGAGGAAGAGGCCGAGGTGACAGGCGCGCGGCGGGCGCGAGGGAAGGGCGCGGGTGAGGCGCCCAAGACGTTCGTCTCCTGGGTCGCCGAGCCCTCCAGCTCTTTCGCCCGGCACCGCGGCACCGCAGGGAAGGGTGCGGTGTGGGGACGTGGGAGTCTAGGCTGCGGGCCCCACAACTGTTGCTGCTGGAAGCCGGGCGGGGGCTGGGGAGCGGGGCTGGGGAGCGGGGCTGGGAGCTGGGGCCGTGGCTGGGTTCGGCCAGAGCGGAGGGGGCTGGAGAGGGCACGGAGCAGAGAGGACGAAAGGGGGCTGTCGGTGGCTCCAGGAGCCTGGCCCCCTGCTCCCGGAGGTCTGCTGAGCACCTACCGCGCGCATCTGCCTTCACACTCCCGCCCCTTCACCGGCTGTAAGTCCCCCAGGTCCTCCCCTCCCAGCTCTTCCTTCGGTAGAGCGCTCCCTCCTCTGACCTCAGGAAATCAGCGTGGGCTTCACCGGGTGGTGGGCTCTTCCCAAATGCTGGACCCGCGCCCGGCGGACCCAGTCCGAGGAGGGGAAAGGAAGGGTGGGCGAAGAGGACCTGGGAGAGCCGAGAGCCTGGGTGCACTGGGCCCTGGCTGCCCCACCAGCGTGTTGCTCTGGTTCCCCGGGGCTTCGACCAGGATCCCCGACGGCGGGGAAGGGGAGCCACTGAGCCTCCTGCGGCAGAAGGCGGTTCGTGCCAGGCCTAGGTGGGCAGGGCCAGGTCCAAACGAAGGCAAAGCACCCAGCGGCCAGAAAATCGCCAAGGGTGCGTCCCACGACCCATCCCAAGGTCCTGTTGGGTGAGCGAAGGGGGAATTCCCGCGGGGCCCTGAGGCTCACCCCACTTGTCCTACTGCTCACCCGTCGGGACTTGGGGCCCAGTCCCCAGCCCTCTGACAGTGGCACCGCCCTGGCTCGATCCGACCCGGGCTATGGAGAAACTGAGGAAAGGAACTTGGGCGGCGGGAGCTCGTCTGCTCAGTCTCAGAGCCCGTCTAGTTTCTGGCTGCGCCAGTCCGTTTCCAACCTGCTCCTAAACCCCGTTAGGAATTCGAAGAGGAGCGTGAAGGGGACTGGGTAGGTCGGGAACCGGACTCCTGGGTTCTCCCTAGGGCAGGGCTGGGCTGGTACCCGCCTACAGCCCCGCCTGCCAGGCGAACTCGGCGCCCCCCACCCGCGGGGCTTGGGGTGGCGACCCAGCTTGGGGCAGTGGGGATGGGGACCTGGGAGCTGGGACCCTCTCAGAGGGTGGCAGCGAGGCGGGGGGCGCGGAGTGCGTGGTGCCCAGTTTGGCCGCCAGGAGGCGTGGCGCGGGTCCCCGCGCCCGGAGTTGCCGCCGCTGCTGCCGCCGCATCGCGAGTGTCCTTGAGCCGCGGGTGACGGTGGCCCTCGCCGCTCGCGCCCCCTCCTCCCGCGGGGGGAGCCCGATGCCACGTTCCCTATGAATTATTTATCGCTGGCCTAAAAATACCCAGAACTTCACAGCCCGAGTGTAAGAGATTCCCCCGGGGGTTCCGGGAGGAATCAGCTGGGGGGGGGCGGGTTCGTCTTGGAGGAGGGAGACCTCGGTGACCGCGCCAGTGGGGGCAAGGTGGAGGGGTGGTCTTCTCCCCTGGCGCCTGGGTTCAGGTCTTAGCTCTGCAAAATGGAGGGAGGGAAACCCGACGGCAAAGCTGAGGCCGCTCACTCGGAGGGCAGTGGATCCAGAGGAGCCGCGCAGCCGGGGTCCCTGGGCGCCCGGGAAACAGCGCGGTTGGTGGGCGGCCATCAGATGTCTGGGGTGTGAGTGCGCGTGCACGTCCGTGTGCGGGAGCCTGCCTGGGATTGGGGGAGCAGGGGGAAGAGAAGAGCCCTAAGCTCGTGGAGGTGCTCAGGCCGTTCAAGGTGATGCTGAGTGTCCCGGAAGTGTCACCATTGCCACTCTCCGCCGGGCTTTTGGGGGGTCCGGGAGTTCATCAAATATTAACAGCACGTTTGTGAAAGGTGCGGACGGCAAGTGGGTGGGCAGAGGTCCTTAAGACCGCAGTCCAGTATGGGGCAGGGGCAGCATGGAGTGGGCAAATTCCTGCAACAGGGGGCAAAATGATGAGGGAGACATCGCAGAGGCATAGCCAGGAGCTCCCCAACCTGGGGGGGGGGATGCTGGGGGCGGGGGAGAAGGGCAGCTGGCTTACAGCCAGACCCAGACCCTCTGTCTTCTCACCCGTGTTTCCAGAGCCGCCAGGCACTAAGGCAGGTGCTCTGTGGCAGAGGGATTTAGGTGGGGCTCTGAAAATTCTGGAATTTGTCCTGTAGACAAGAGAGAGGCAGTGGGAAGAGGACATTGTAACCTGAGGGAACAGCAGAGCAAAGGCCTGGAGATGCTGACAGCAGGAGCTGTCTGGCCACCAGACCTGAGGGAGTGTGGGGTGCATGGAGGGGAGGACAGTTGGGGTGCGTGGGGCTCTGTCCATGGGACCCAGGTGTCTGGACTTCATTTGTGGGCACCAGGGAGCAGCTGTGCTCTTAGAGGAGGGGTGCAGTGGCCAGAGGACTGTTTCAGGCCAGTGGGGCAGGCGGGGGTGGGTGGATGGGAGGCGGAGAGGTGGGAGGCCAGGGGGAGGCAAGTGGGAAATTGGACGAGGCCAGGGCTCGGGGATGACCTCCTGCCTTGCGGGGGAGGCTGGATGCCTCGTGGTGCTGGGACTCTGGAGCCTGGATCTGCCCATTGCTGTTTGAAGCTCAGAGACTGGCCTGATTGGGGCCCCTCCCTCCAGGAGCATTCGGCAATCCCTCCTCATCTCCAGTCCTGGAGGACACCTTCCCAGCACAGAGAGTTTCTAGGGGCAGTCCCCCCTCAGAGCTGAGGGAGGACCTGGGTCCTTCATCTAGAGTCACGTGGTCCAAAAGAAACAAAGTGAGAGCCACATGTAGGCACATTAGAAAAGGAAAAGAAAAGTGCAATGAATTCTAACACTATATTGTTTAACTCAATGTAGCTAAAATATTTCTTCAACGTGTAATCCATATAAAAATATTAGTGAGAGATTTTCTTTTTGTAATACAAAGTCTTCACTCTCCAGCGTGCATATTACACTTCACAGCGTACCTCAGTTTGGACAAGCCACATTTAAGTGCCCAGTAGTCATACGTGACTGGTGGCTGCCGTATTTGACAGCGCGGTTCTAGAGCTCAGAGCTGGGAGGCATAAGTGGGGGAAGCTTCGGGCTTCCCAGAGGATGGGGAACCTATAGAGGTGGGCAGAGATGAGCACAGAGAGGAATTGCAAAGGAAGAAATGAGCCCGACAGTGCTCTTTGCAGGTGTGATTTGAAATCCCTCATTGGAGGTAATGGTGGGCACGGCACGCTTAGGTTCCCACCCTAGAATCACACGCCTCCAGGCTGATGTTCTAAGTCAGTGTACTGGGAAACCATACACGGGGGGAGATTTCAAGGGCACAAAAATGAGCACAGTGTGCCCTCCCCTGCCCCAAATCCTGTCTTCTCATTTTGAAATGAAACCAAGCCCAGCCTGGTCACCATTTGGCTCTCCCCTGTTCAGAAGTTTCACTGGGGATGCCATGGAGATGGAGAGGGTGGCAAAGCTGTGGCCGATGGCCAGCTGGGAGGGAGAGCTGTATCCGTGGGCACCACTCACCGGTGTGGCTGTTTGTCCAAAAGCAATGATGTTTGTTTCACAGGGATACACGTCAGGCCCTTGGGGTAGGTTAAAA